AACATCACCCGTAAAATGCAATATATACTAGTGCAAATCTATCTACGCGCCGATCAGTACGGCAGCGGCGATATTTTGCAGAAGGGCTCTTAACGAGAGTTTCCAGGAGGTAGTATGATGCTACAGAAAGCTGTGCCGCCTAACCATGTTCAGCTTGCTGTCTAAATCGTAACCCAATCCCGTGAAAACATTTAACAGACGATGGGAACACTGATTTACCCACTTGAATTGAAGCGCCATCGCGCCTGTCAGATACGTGTCCACCTTACAGAGGATTGCATATCAACGCCACTTTTCTACAGGATTATGCTGCACTGCTCAAATCTCGCGATTAATTAACTTGTCGTAGTCTGCCCTAGCAACTACGGCCAGTCACGATTGTCCAAAGCGAGAATTTAAAAAGTTTTTTGACAGCTGTCTCTACTCAGTGCGCGCCAACTTGAATGTCATTAACTGTTTTTGTGCTGCGGCCAACTTATTTGTTTATTTTTCTCATTTCAGCTTTTATGTGATATTATTTCATTTTTGTAAAAAAAAGAATTGTGCAAAATGGACAAAAAATACCTAAATATTAAAGATATGCACAAGATGGAAAGTAAAAACCAAAAAGAAGATAGTTGGATTTACACTCACAGGTACATAACTTGAATATTTTCAAATGCAACAACAACATGAAATGCAAATGCCTTTTGGAATTATTACATTAATGAAAATACACATTTAACTGTGTTACCTTATGGTAAGTAGTCAGTGCCGTCTTTAACCTATTGGAGGCCCTGGGCACAGACCCATTTTTTCACAGCTTCAGGGGACTGTAGACTTGAGTACATAGATGGTTAAAAGGTACTAAATTCCATTAGTTGTGGTGGAATTTCGGGGTAGTTTTGATGTGGGGGGGAGGAGGGGGTCTCCCCGACTCCCCCCGTACTAAAGATTTTAGACGGAAATTCATGTTTTTTTTTAATTAACCTAACCTAAAAATTCTTAATTTTTTAGGATGCAAGGACTAGGGAAGTAAGAACCAGTAGTTCTGCCTTATCTCCGGCGCTGCGGGAATAGCAGCCCCACCGCCTTTGCGTGACAAAGTCACAAGCATCACTCCCCTTCCCCTTGCGGCTTTGTCACAGCAGGCGAGGGCTGCTCTCCCTACGCGCCTCCGGGCTCTAAAAAACACTCTAGGGGTAGGGCAGACCAAGACCACGGCGTGTCGGGGTTGACCAAGTCGGTTCTGAATTAAAGACTGTTGTAAAGCCACATTTAACTTTTTTCTAAGTGTGGAGCCCATACTATTTCTTATTTAACAAGCAAATAATAGCAAATATATTTTTTTCCGACGAACACACTGACTGTCATTTCTCAAAACAAATACAAAACGGCGGACATCTGTCATTTTGACAATAGTACCAACATAATAAACATATTTTTTACCACAGACAACGAGAAACATGTTATTTCTGCATGAAAAAATGGCAGCACTGATCAAAATGGCTGTCAAAATTGACTTTAACCTACAAAAATATTAATTTTCAATATTTTATTTCTCAAGTTCTATTCGTTTCCGTATAAAAAGATTTCGTGTACGTGTTTCTAATAATTAATACTTTCCGTGACAAAAAATCTCAGCTCGGTACTAAACCACAACTAATGGAAAGCTGAGCCGCGGAGGCAGTCGCCGAAGCGCCAGAAAAAAATAGTTGACAGTAAGTTTGAGCAAAATCATGGCCATTATCTGATTAATAAATAAATAAATATTTCCAACACTCACAGCAATTAGCCTAGCCCCAAAGTAAGCACTGAAAGGCTTGTGTTATGGAATACTAGGGTAACGGATAGAATACATAATATAAGTATATTTATATAGAAATACATATTAAACATCCATGAATGGAGCAAAAATACTCGTATTCATCACACAAACATCTGCCCCCACCGGGATTCGAACCCGGGACCACTCGAGTAGGCGACGCCATGAAACCCGGCGAACAAACCACTCGGCCACGGAGGTCGTCGGGCCACGAGGTGCGGAATTATCCGCATTTTCGCAAATAGCCTAGGATTTTCGCGAAAATTCTATTTACCAAATCATCTTAACTACGACATATGCAATGGGCGTGTGATATTCTGGTATCGCAAGGCCAGCATCTATAGGCTATGGCAGGCGCCTTACCATCATGAGGACCATACACTTGTTTGCCAACTTTTATAAATTATAATAAAAGTTTGAGGCCTCTGCAGTCAGTAGCTGAGAGGAAAGCAAGGCATTTAAAGTCACTATCTGTGTGGCCGTATCTGTTTAAATGCAATTCTAATCAATATAGGTATTATCCTACAGTTTAGCATTTGAAGGATATGTATGATGTATGTAAATATCTTTAAAAATTTCAAATTTAGATTTCTTGTAGAGTAGAGTTACCTTTATTTATATCAGTTTCTAGTACCTATATACTTTATAACAAAATAACTCAGTAAAGGACAATGGGAAGAAACGTCCCCACTCCCCAACAGATTTGAAACAAGTGTCATTCAAAGTGTCTGGTAGAATAGATAATTTCCTACTCTGGCCACATGCTTCAAATATATGGGGTTTAGGTTTTTATAAATACTAGAAATGCCCTGCAGTTTCACTCACATTCATTTGAGTAAATAGGTTATAGTGGGTGACCCTTAATAGACATATGCTGTCGTGGACTTTTTTATAGAACATATAAAGGAGAACAATTCCTTCATATATGATTTTGGTGTAACTTTTACTGATTAGGCAGCGCACGCAACAGAAACTCTGAAATGGAATATTTTTTCCGTATTTGCAATATTTTTTATTGTTGTTCCGCTCCTTTTGATTGTAGCTTTTAATTATATAACTTATGACCTTCCTCCATAAATGCACTATCTAACAAAAAAAGAATCACACTAGTAGTTCACAACTTTATGTAAATGAATTAAATATAACCTAAAAAATCCAAAGGCAAATCAAAGCATTAAATGGCAACTCATATCTATCAGTACGCATGGCACCGACATCAAATTATTTTTAAGTTTAAATATAGATAGACACATATAAGTAAAAAAAAGAATGCATTTTTTCTTTTTTCTAGTGGTTTTTAATGAAGTTCTTATAAGAATTATGAATAAAAAATTATCATGATAATCATGTAATTAGTACAAGTTAACCACAGATAATATGTAAATTAAATAGTAAATCTGAACTAATACCATAGATCCTCATCATGGTTTGGTGTACTAAATAAATGCTTAATCATCTTTAAAGTGTTGATTATTTAAAGTTAATGAATGCTAAACGTAAGATAAAAGAAAACAATTTTCATTGCACAATAATTTAAATAAAGGTGTGGGTTTACTTAATTGTGATAGATGATGGGCCCCAATGTGGGCCTGTTTACTTATATAGGATATCATTGTGAGGTCAATGCCCGATGCCTAACCTTGAACTTGTGTGAGTTTCCATTTCATTTGTTAACATATTTTAACTTCTCCAATAATATGGTTGTTAAATTGAATAATTTTCCTTATAAACTACTCAAGGTTTTATGCAACATTATCTATATTACATATTTATGTTACTACCATAGGTAAAATGATCTATCAAAATACTTCCATATTGACCTGGGTTACATTAAACTTTGCTTAATTTGTGACAAAATAATTGTTTCGACTTGTTTGCAATGAATTTTTGAAAAAAAAATTTGAAACACAACTATTTGTAACAAAATTTTAAGACAATAAAGATGTTGATTCTGGCACTAATGGTGATTAAAACTAAATTTAAGGTCAGTCTCTCCTTTTCATTCTGTATAGAGAATAACAAGAATACACGGTTGTCAAATTATATTTAGGTTTAGAGAATCATGTCAGAGTCAACAGAAGTTGCAAAAAAAAAATTTGAATAAGTCTTCTACTTTTATTTATTTTTCTAAAGTTGGTTAGGGCGAAAATTCCCTAATATTCATAACTGGAAAACTATAACAAGTAGCAGAACATACATAGGGATGATTCGGATACCCCATGATACGAGGTACCTACTTTTTTTTGGACGTCAATGCTCTGGCCACCCAGTATACTTATTTCTGATGTTTACATTTTTATCCCTCTCGGGTTTATCAATAAAATAGCATGTTGCACACATAGTATAGGGAAGGCCTGTGCCCCAGCAGTGGGGACATTAATAGGCTGATGATGATGATGATGATGATGATGACACATAGTATTGCTCATTCCCCTTATGGAAAATCATAACAGAAATTCTTGAAAGGAGATTAGTAACAAGTAATTTATAACAAGGCCTTATAAAAAAAATATATGCTTTTAAATCTATGTCTCTTTAAAAATTATTATAAAATCAATCTATGTAACACACCAGGGGGAGGGGCCTCTTTTTATGAATATTTGACTATCCTTAGTACCTTTCATTTCATAATTGGAAAACAGTAAAATAATGTCATATTGCAATTTCTTCTGTGGTCTTCACCTCCCAGCTTAATATTGAAAGAGTTTCTCAGCAATATGTTCAAATACTAATGAATCATTTAAGTATTTTGACTTAGTCTCCATAACAGAGTGAGTGGGTATATGAGTCACCTATTAAATAGTTTCACTCTTTCTATTTGTGATTGCTGCTGATAAGAGCAGCATTAAATTATCTGCCTTTTGTAACAAACAACAGTGATACCATAAAGGGCCTTTACAAATACTTGGAAACCGTGATAACATTACACCTACACAATAACTATTTTGTATTAGTTCAAAAGTTTTCACAAGTTTCATTGTACCTTTGGCAACTCAATAGACATAATTAAAGTTCTGGAGTTGTTTTCGAAGTGGCAACAGCAAAGGAAATAAAGGTTGTTTGTTATAATAACATTCATAACATCATTATGTTGTTTGTTCACTGTATAGCATAGCAATTAAGTGGGTACTTTACAAATCATTGTGCAAGATGTTTACTACTCTAGTGAAGTGATAATGAAAAGTAAAAAACTTACGTATAGGATGTAGTAGCTCCTCACTGGCATCATCTGAGCGGTGCTGTTTGAGTAAAGCACTAAGCCAAGAGTGTAGCTCCTGCTCATTCTCAGCAACAATGCAGAACTGCTCCTCTCTAGTGAATAGTGCTATGACATGCTTTTGCTTTAGGTCCAGCCTCCTGGTGATGTTGTAACAGCTCTTTAGGTGCAACTCTCTACGTGGCGGTGCGCCCGCGCGATACTTCTTCTCCGATTCGTAGTACTCGAGGCGCGCGGAGCAGTCAGCAGTTTCGGCGCGCAGCACGAAGTACTTCTTCTTCATTTTCCTCAGCTTCCGCAGGTGGCCCTGGCGCACCACGGCGCCCGCGCCCCCGCCAGCCATGTCCGCCGACATGTTAGCGCACCCGCATCCCACTCCCCGACTAACACTGGCACATGCCAAGCGATAACCTTGAAGTTGTTTACTTCGCTGATGAAAGTCACCCGAACTGTCGAACCTACGCTACCACTGTCGAAAGCGACGCAACTAAAAATACGTACTATCCTTTTCGTATAGTGCGTAAATAGTAGCGCATACGATAAATCGAACAGCGTAACGAATCAGTTTCGTCCAGCGTAGATCCACTCGCGCCATATGACTACTATTGATGGGCGCCACGAATTCGAGACGACACGGCGACGCGATAAACTAGACGAGAAAATTATTATCGTTGAGAATCATCAAATTACGCCAACAACAAACAATATTGAATCCTTAGTTCGGTACGCTCGCTATTACACTCGGTCATTCACAGATACTCAAGTTTAGAAAGAGATAAAATCATTCATAGTTAGTAAACGTAATCTGCACCGCACGCCCTTCCGTAGGCACGCAGGGCATGGAAGTCACGCCGTGCTCATGCTTTGCAAGATCAAAACATTCTACCAGTCCCGGTATCCCGCACTATTATTGAACTTTATCGTCGCCAATTTCGAAAAACCAAACTTAATTGTTTTATTTATATACTCGATCACTAGATTTATAAAAACTCATGAGTTTGCGCGTCATTTTTTATTGGTTCTCGCTATTGCGTGTCATTTTTGTACGACGAACGAAACGAACGGTATCAAAATCGAAATGAAAATTGAGGTGTTATTCCACAGATAAGTTTCAAGGCTGCGTTCAGAACCTATGCTCCAGGTACAACTAATGTCAATTTTGACATAAGTTCCACACATGTCATGTTATGTCAAAACCTTAGAGCATATACCACTGGAGATGGCATGGGCGGACGACCCCGAAGGTTCCTCAGCGCGAGTCGGAGCTCCGACAAAAATGGAAAATTATATTGATTTCCCACGCAAAAACCGATCTGCCACTTCAATCCTGCTGAAACACGGTGTTTCCTATCATACACAAGTATTTTTAAGTTCTAAAAAGTTAGTATTGTGGTATAAAATGCAATTAAAAGAAAAGGCGCGAAATCACGAATGAGTGACAAAAATAATAGGTAGATATTCATGGTGATGTGACGAAAAATTAATGAATGGTATTTTTAATACTGGAAAACATTCAACCAAATTTAATTAAGTGTATCTGCCGATACGAATACCATGTTGATAAAACAAATATACATCGACAGATTTTATAAAAAAACAAACATTCAATCATTCACAATCTACAATTTAACCAAAAAAAGGTGTTGATTCTTGAATGATTCTCTAAGCTTAGAACTAATTTTAATATTAGTATCTCGTTTTCATTCTGTATAGAGAATGACAAGGATACACTGGTATCGATTCTGGCGTGATTCTCTAAACTTAAAACTAAATTTAACATCAATCTCTCCTTTTCATTCCGTATAGAGAATGACAAGGATACACTGTTGTCAAATTTAAGTTTAGGTTTAGAGAATTGTGTCAGAATTGACACCACTGTTGTCAAATTTAAGTAAAGAGAACGCTAACATATTCATCACCAAAATCTATCTTCCGACATTGAAAATGGTAATGGTGTCGACTCTGGCAGGATTCTCTAAACTTAAAACTAAATTTAAGATCAGTCTGTCCTTTTCATTCGGTATATTGAATGACAGAGATACACTGTTGTCAAATTTAAGTTTAGCTTTAGAGATTCATGCCAGAATCGATACCATTATGTATAAAAAGTACTTTATATCAATGCAGGTAAATAGCCACATAAAAATTATAAACAATACTTAGGTGTCCATTCTGGCATGCATAATTCTCTATATTAAATTTAACATCAGTCACTCCTTTTCATTTTGTATAGAGAAAGACAAGGATACATTGTTGTCAAAAATTTAAGCTTTATGCCAGAATCGACACCATAATTAACTTACTTTTTTTTGTTTGTTTGTTTATTGGCAATATATTGATGTAAACAGCGTATTGGTAGAAGAAAGTAAATCATATTAAGTAGTTCAGCTGCCCACATCGTGCGACTTTTATTAACTTTTAACTATTTTTTTTTAATAGCTATCAGATGTTTCAATTAATAGCAAAATGGTATCACACGAAGCCCTAGATTTTATTTAGTTGCACCGTGATTATTATCGTGTCGCGAAAAAAATAACGTTTACGATATACTCACGAACGTTTGTTCATGGGTGTTACAATTCGGATTTCTCTATAGTCCAATTCCTGTAGCATGAGTACCATAATTTACATTATATCACGTTTTTATCGCGTCTGACTGTCAAACTCCATAGTAATTTGACAATTAAGCGTGATAAAATCGTGATATATATCATATCGCGGTGCTCATGCTAGGGGGGGGGGGCAGGAGCTAAAAACTTATATTACTAAGATTCTGTATTAAAAGAAATTTTATGTTTTTTAGACGAATCAAATAATTGTTTCCGCTTATATTATTATTTTAACTTATATTATTTTTACTTCTTAAAGTTTTTAACACACAGTTTCTTTTATATGTAGTAGCGTATTTTATTGTAATCCACAAAAGTGGTACCTAATTACTATTCATCTGGGCCGACTAAGACATCCTTGGAAGCTGTCTGGCTAAAAAAGATAAGTACTTTAACGTGACGGCGAGTCACAAAATCGATCTTTTAAGTTGCCGTGACTACAGTGCCATTAGGACTACATAGTCCCAAAATCTGAAACATTAATAATAAACATACACCTCGAACAAAAATTTTGGTTTCGTAACCAGCTCCACTTAAAACTATGAATTCGATTAATACTCATATTAAACTTATTTGTAAAAAAATCCGTCCGATTAAAAGGTTTTTTTTAAATAAAAACAGAATTAAGGAACAAAGTTACTTTAACAATCGGGACCAATTATTAGGAGCATTTGATTTATTCTAGAATATCTAATGTATCTTGAGTGTTGAAATAGCCTTGTTCTAGCCTCCTTACTAAACAGAATTTTAGGCTACTAGATTTGATTTATTTTAGTTTAGTTTAGTACTAGTTTAGTTATTTATTCAAAATTATATTTTCAGCAGGTGAGATTCCTGATGTATTTAAATTTACTATTTTATTTTCGACATTTTGGGTCAAAATGTTTATAAATATACGTATGCAGTGGTAGTAGCATAATTAGAAACACTACCAACGGTCCTTGACATTATGTAAGATACTTAACCGCAATCGTTTTTATTTTGAAATTAAACAGTTAACTTGACATCAATATGTTCAACCATTTATCATTTATTACAAAAACAATATAAATCCCATTATACTAGTGCAGTTTCAATATTACATTACGAAAAAACACTTAAATCAGTTTTAAGATATGAACAATAATGGTCAACTAATACGAAATGAAATGAAATGAAATATATTTGCATTTATTTGTGGTTACAATGATGTTTCTAAATGATTAGGTCAGATCGCACAATTACCCGTTTCCAGCGTGCAAAAATTAATTGAAATATAGATTTATAATTATGTTATGACTTTTTTGTACTTAAAGCATATCTCTTAGTCTATGTAAAATACTTATTTGCAAAATAAAAGTCTAATACCTACATTGATAAAATAAAATGTCAAAAGAAAATCACATCACGTCACATCTCATCTTCAGCAGGTACATAAGTCAACAACTTCATTTTACGATTTGAATTGATTCATATAGCCTTAATAAATAATTTTATAATAATTTGTACTTAAAAACAAACAAAAAAAAATATAAATAACAGATACAAAAAAAAATTAAGTAGGCATTAGACAACGCATATTAATTTCTGTTAAGGCAACAATTTCATTTTCATTATTTAAATTGACTCACATTTATTCACTAATAATTATTGTATTAAAATAAATAACAATTAATTATGACTCATAAAATATTCGCCAATACAATAAAAACATTTTGTCAGCCAGGCATGTAATTTACGTTTAAACAAGTTAAATGTTAATTTTTTTATGATATGAGGCAAATGATTATAGATTTTTACACACATAAAGTATGAGTTTTTGGAGCAAATAACCGTTTGACTACTAAGCAACAACAGTCGATCAGGATATCTCGCATTAAATAAGCAATTTTCTTGTCGCTGTTTAAATAAATGTATATTGCTTTTAACAAAAATGCAAACTTCATATAAATGGATACCGCAAAGAGTTAATAAGCCAAGTTTTTTAAAAAGAAGTTTACAGCTGGTAAGGGATGGTACATTACAGATTCCTCTTATACACTGCTTCTGCGCTAAAAATAACCTATTCACCATTGTTGAGTTACCCCGTAGCAAAATTTCATACCACAAATTTGATGCAATATATCCATGATATGCTTTTAGTTGTAGAATCCTTCCTCACCAATCGTCGGGATCCAGTAGAATAAACAATACCCTTAATGAATCACACAGTTTATTCCTCAAACACAATAACCTTTAACAATAACTTTCCAAAGTAACTTCCCAAGTAACCTTCCGTAAATAAATACGAGTTCACAGCTCGGACGTCCGTAACAGAATGAATAATTTTAAAAACCTCCAGCATGGTTTCCCGCTCGAGCGACGGATCAACAGGAAATCAAGTATATAGATGGCGCCACTCGAGCAACAAACCAATAGCAGTAGTTGAGGAATCGTTTTCGTACTAATAATAAACTTTTAGCGGAAATGCGACAAATTCTACATAAATTCAAAAATAACAAAAATAGATACAGTCTTAGAATTAATTATACATAAATTGCTAACAGATTCGTCCATCCTGACTTCTATGTTACGACCTCGTGACTAATTTAATACAATAATAAATCGTAATTGATATATTTTAATTGTTAAACAAATGCAATTTTACAAAATATTTAATTCTCATATGAGTCTCCGTTTGTCTTAACCCAAATAGCTAATTAATGAAGTAGAAAACCTATTAAAACAACTTTTATATTGATTAAAAGAAGTGGTTCTAAAGATCAAACAGACACTCATTTTTAAGTTATAACATCTTATTATTAACAGTGGTTTAATATCAATTATTTATAATAATATCCTTCCAATATTTTCCAATATCCTTCCGATTATCCTTCCGATTATCCTTCCGATTATCCTTCCGATTATCCTTCCGATTATCCTTCCGATGATCCTTCGAGTATCCTTCCATTTCCCTGAATTATATCCTCTATTATCCTCCCTCCATCCTACCAGTAACCTTTTGTAATGAAGTATCAAATTTTTAATGAACTCAACCATCCTTCATCGACCCATAATACAAATCCAATTCGTTAATCTACATCATTAACGTCGGTTTCTAAGTCATTATTTTCCTCGACTATTATTTCCTCTTCGCTAGATTCACTGTCATCAATCCCTTTAAAACTTAACCAGGGATGTACCTTATCAACCGGGTATACTCCCTTATAGCTTGCTTTTCCCTTTTTTTTTGTCAACGGTGTATCCTCCACTAGATACCTATCATTGGGCAAAACATCGACTACTCTATAGGGACCGTAACATTTAGATCTCAATTTTTTACTTTTTCCTGGGCAGAGAACACTTCTTTCCACTCTTACCAAATCACCTACGGCATAATTACGCGGTTTGTGTCTAGCCTTATCGTACCTTTCTTTTTGCCTTTCCTGCGATTCCCTAATATGTTCACTTACGTCAGAACGAATACTGTCAATATCAATCTCATTTGTAGCTTCCAAATCATCGTGC